ATTTTGATCCACTCCTCTGTCCATCATCCTAAAAGACAAAGTAAAAATATTATTTAAAAAATGCAGTTTGAGGTGTACGACCACAGGAAGTAAGAGGCAATCACTATTCCTGATAATTCACGGTCCTATAAAAAGATGGAAGATTAAGTCCTATACTTGATCTCAGAGGCATAAACAACAACTCAAGACGTTTCACCTGATGATGTTATCTTCCATCCTAACATTACTCAGTGAGGGAGACTGGTTTGCCATTATGGACATGACAGGTGCTTTCTTTCACATCTCCATCAGACCAACCTTTTGCCATTATCTCTGATTCCTGCTAGTGGATGAGGTCTACAAGGTCCAAGTCCAAACCTTTGGGCTTGCAGTGGCACCCAGAGTCTTCAAAAAAGTGCATGGCATCGATTGCTGTATACCTGTGTCTAAGAGGTATCATAGTATTCCCCTACATAGATGATTGGTCACTAGTGGCTAGCTCAGAGTACTCCCTCATTTGCTGTTGAGCCTCAGTCTCCATGTCAGTGTCTCCAAATGTCATCCGATTCCAACCAAATGGATCTGATACATTAGAATGGTATTGGATTCAGAGTCAGCAAGAGCATTTCTACTGAAATTGGCTGGTTCACCACCGTTATTCACTAAGTACTGTAGTTACAGCATGACACAGAATCTACAGCCCATGCAATATATTTACTATTGAACCTTATGGCATCTACTACCACTGTAGTGGAACATCAAGACTACAAATCTGTCCACTGCAAATATGGGTTCTCCACAACTTCAGTCCCTTTAGGGATCACCAGATGAAGAGACTCTGATTGCCAATCTCATTGTGTAGCTATCCTGATCTGCAATACCTACTGACCTGTTAAATGGAATGCCCTTCAGGCAGCCTCACCTGGTTACAGCCAACACAAGTCTCAGTGGGTGAGGAGCACACTGCAAAGACATTACCATTCATGACTCCTGGATAGCAATGGAGCATCTGTACCACATAAATTGTCTTGAACTGTTGGCAATTTCCTAGGCATTTCAAGCATTTGAAAGGCAGCTGAAAGATCAAGTGATACAGATAACCAACAATAACACAGCAGTGATGTATCACATAATCTGGGAGGTACTTATCCATTTTCCCTACTACATCTCACCATCCAGTTTTGGGAATGGTGTCTACTGTATGACATCCATCTCACGAGTGGACAACCAACTGGTAGGCTCCCTCAGTCATCTTACAAGGCAACTTCATGAGTAGGAGCTCTTTCAGAGAGTATTCATGCAGATAGTGAAGCACTGGGATATGCCTCAAATAGATGTATTTGCCACCTTTCACAATCCAGATGTCACAGCTATTGCTCCTGTGGGAAATGTGGCACTGGGTCAGTCAGAAAAGCATTCACTTTGCACTGAATGGACACTTTTCTCTACGTGTTCCCTCTCATCCCCTTAAGCTACAGAACAATAATCAAAATCAAACAAGAACAAGCAGATGTAATTCTGATAAACACCCTGGTGGCCAGGACAGATTTGATTTATCCTCCTGCTGACAATGTCGGTGAACTACATAAGAGTGCTGCAAGTACTGTCCGCAAAGCAGAGGTGCCTCCTCCAATCCTCTTTACATGTCTACCCTAGCAGCTGTTGTGTCACAGCAACCTCACAGCTACCCATCATCTCATCTCTTTGTAGAACCTATACTTAAGAAATGCTTGAAAGTCCAGCTTGATACTTACTCTGATATTCGTCATCGATGGGAGCCTTGATCTCTTTCTCTCACTAGCCCTTACTCAGTCGATGGGACCTCCTTTTGAGCCCATGGTGACCACCAGCATTAGGCTGCTAACTTTTAAGTCTACCTTCCTTGTTGCTATCATGCCGGCTAGTATACTAGTGCTAGTGTACTGTGGTGCATTTCAAAGCAACCCACATTCCTACAATTTCACAAAATATAAAATCATTTTGTTGCCAGATACTACTTTCTTATTTTGGTGTCTCATTTTCATACATTGCAACCATTTGTGGATCCTCTTTTTGGATCCTTAGACATCTCCCAATAAATAGCTTCACACCTTATATGCTTTTTACATCTTTCATATGAGGGTGCTTCAAAAGTTTGCTTGACTTTTCCTTCGTTACCAAGGCCTTAGAAAAGGCAACCCGGTGTCATCCTAGAGCTTGTCAAATGGGTTGTGGAAACCATCAGATTGGCTTATAAGATGGCCCATTGACCTCAGGGTATTAGAGGCCACTCCACTCAACTTCCCTTGTGACCCAAAGAGGACTCTACTACCTGACATCTGCAAGGGTGAGACCTGCTCTGAGCTGTTTACTTTTATGAAGCATTATAGACTAGATGCTTGCTCCAAGCAGGGCAATCCTCTCATTTGTGGTGGTGTAACATCCTTCCTGTGATAAGTGAGCTTGCTAGTCACCCATAAGTGTGATTCACAGAAACCATGACAAAGAAGGGACAGGTTGCTTACCTGTAACTCATTCTTCAGGTGGTCGTCCATGTATTCACACATCCCACCCTCCTTCTCTGTGTCATGCTCAGTTTATATCTGAGTTGTAGATAGACAACTGAAGGAAAGCCATTAGGTTGTGCCTAGTCATGCATGGTAATGGAGGGGGAGGGGGGAAACACTTCTCCATAAGCTCTAGAAGGTTCTGAGGTTGTCTTCTGTGCAGCCACAAAATCCATATTTGTGTATTCACATACGTCCACTTGAAGAACTGCAGTTACAGGTAAACAACCTGTTCTTTTGCAGAAAAAAAAATCTAGAAAATTGTGAAAATTCCCTTTCTATTGACTTTAACTTTGTTTACCTTGAAAAAAATGTGGTTTCTGCTTTACTGTGGTGACCTCCCATCACATACCTTGTGACTTTTCCCTCCTCACTTGATCCATTCAGCTGTATTACCCTTCTGTCTCTCCACAGATTTACTTTCTTTCAATATGCCTACTTTTTGTTAGAAACACAAATGTTTTTTTCCACAAAATCTTACTAACCCAAATCAGAATATAGGTTCCATGTTTTAAAACCAATTATAAGCTAGGGCTTGTTAATCTCTATGAGGTATATATCAATGTGCAAGCAATTCATGCTACTGAAATGACCATATGGATCTTCTTTTCCCATTGCTGATAAGTTCTTCTTCCAAGTGGGAAAGCACAGTTGTTTTTGTGAACAATTCTCACTTTGCCTGTCCATGTATTGCAAATATTGACAGGAAAAGGCCTTTGGAAAAGACCCAGTGACAAAATTCAAATGGATATTCAAGCATGTATTACTGCTTTTAGAGCTGCTGTTTCCATGCTCCACATTAGTTATATATTCAGTCTCAGCTCTCAAGTAATGTTTAAAAGTTTTTCCTCCAAGATATTATTAAAATTAATCTTCAGTTACTCAAAGAGTAAGCAATTTCTTGTGAAATGTACACTGGAAATCTTTACATGTACAGTTGTGCCCCGGTTAATGATTACCCCTTATAACGATGAATCCGCTTCACGACAATGTTTTTGCGATTGCAATTGCAATCACAAAATGATGTTCTAATAGGGTTTTTTCACTTTGCGATGATCGGTTCCCTGCTTCGGGAACCGATTCTTCACATTATGACGATCAAAGCAGCTGATCGTCGGGTTTTCAAAATGGCCCACTGTTTTTAGGAGGAATTTTTCGCACTACATGCACCGAAAATGGCTGCCCCTATGGAGGATCTTCACTGGACAAACAGGTATTCAGCCCATTGGAATGCATTGAACGGTTTTCAATGCATTTCAATGGGCTTTTTTATTTCGCTTGATGACGTTTTCACTCTACAGCGATTTTGCTGGAACAAATTAACGTTGTCAAGCGAGGCACCACTGTACATACTTTCTAACCACAGTGATAACTTGGATTCTCCTCAAAATTCTCCTTAGGAGCTCAGGTCTTTGAAAGTTTAAGTTGCGGTGTGGTTATTGCAAACCTACACAATGTGTGACTCATGAAGTCAGATACAATCTACAACCATTCAGGATACACACCAGTACAGGCAAGCAATGGGGTTTCATGTACCTGTTGAAGCAAACTACCTGGCAGTGGTTGAATTTGGCTTGACAGATGGCAGATTGTGCAGGCCTATCATCATGCTTTTGCACCAAATGGCTACCCACACAAAACACAAAGGAAGCACCAGTCTTCCCCATTTTTCTGAATGAGAACTTTCAGTTGAATTTGCAGCAAGGGAATGGAAGCTGGAATGAGTCAAAGGTTACAGAGAGAAGGATACAGGGAAAGATACCAACTTGGCTGAGGGAAAGTGAACCTAGGCTGAGGTGCTGTTCTCTGGGAATGTCCCCTGCAGCTTTAGATGGGGAGATCCAGCTGTAGCTGAGGGGACATTTTGTGAAATATACCTATCTTCATTCCTCCGCCTTCTCTTGTTTGGCATCTGGGATAAACTGCAGGTCCCTAAAGAGGCCCAGATTCCTACGCAATCCTTGTTTCAGTCTTCTGCAAGGAGCCTATGCATGCTGAATTTCCTCTTTCCCAGTGTTACTGTATTCATAGCAAGTAGAAAACCAGATACAATGGAGAAAGGCTACCAAGATAGCTCAAGAAGTCCTCCCCCTCTGCTTGGATCTGTGTAGCTGAATATGAAGGGAGAGTTTCCTGGTTAGAAAATGGGGTTGTATCCTAAGCAAAGGAAGCAGCACAGAAATGGAACATCTCAGGCGTAGTTTCCATGGAAATGATTTGGACTTAAATCCAAAGGGCTGGAGTGAGATGAGATAGTGAGGAGGTGACGAGATGATGAGGCAGAGGGCTTCTCAAAACCAATTCTGCTATTCCTTTTCATATCCTGTCTGTCAACTCGGGTGCAAACAACCTTTAGCATTGTTAGAAATAAAACACTTCCTGAAAGAGGACTTTTCATTGCTTTGAGTATTTTATAGCTTTTTGCACATAAATGAGAAGGAGTTTATTTTCACTTAACTTTCTGTTGCCCCCTAGCTGGTACTCAGACCCCTGGTACCAGTAGCTGCCTCTCCCTGCCCCAACACACAAGCCTTACATCTACATTCAGACATCATTACATCCCTTTCTTCAAAGGTAAGGTCCAGGAATGGCATTTGTGATGTGATAACTGTAGACATCTCCCAGTGTGGTTTTCTTGATGTTTGTGTGTGCATGTCCCTTTAATAGATGATTTTACTCCTCTAACCTTTGTGAGTTACCTACTGAAAACTTTTCTTTAATGGATATTTAATAATTACTAGTACTATAAGAATGTTCAACTTTCAAAATGTTCAGCTTTATAAATATTACTATTATTATTATTTCCAGCATTTTAATTCCATAGGCATATTTTAATAAAGCCAAAGAAATAGTGGTGTGGACATAAATTTTCCATTTGGAAACTATCTGGGAAGATTTCTTGAATTTTTAAATGGGTTTTCCTGTTTCATATCTAAAATAGTGAAAAGTCTGAATTTGTTTAATAAAACATTTTTCTTTTTTCTCCAAGAGTGCCTGTTTTATTCATGATTCGTGTAACACAAAGCAAAAAAGGCACAATGACTGAAATAGCAAAGGGAGCACGTACAAAAGAAAGACAGAAAGAGGAAAAGACTGCTTTAGGGAACCTAGTTTAAAATTGCTTAGCTCCCAGAGATGTGCAGCATCTGGAATATATTCTCCTAATTTAGAAATGAAAACAGGGAAATATGAGTATTGGATTCTAAAAGGCCAGTTATTTGATCTTAAGTTAAAATTAGTTTCTCTGATGTGCATAAAAGTGGTGCTGAATTTCCTGAGCTCCAGGGAGGTAGCATAGTGAATTTTCATGTTAGGAATATTCAAACATTTTAGCAAGTTCCTTCCTTGGGCCATGTGTAAACCTAGGAAAAAACTACATTATATCTTGTCTGTGATTGCTAGAGTTGATGGAAGCTGCACCCTGACAACATGAGGGATTGTCTCCCCATGTGAAACTACTTGGTGCTTAAGATCATCAGAGGAGTCCCATTGCTAGTGGAAGCACAGTTGATGGGGACATGAGAGAAGGGCCTCCTCTGTGGCTTCTCCCAGGTTTTGGAATGCTCTCCTTCAGGTGGTCAGGTTGTCGCTCCCTTTTTAATCCTGCCAACAGCTGAAGACCCACTTTTTCAGTCAGGCTTTTAGCAATTGTGGCTTTTAACCATTGTGACTGAGTCTCTAAATGTCATTTCTTAGTTCAGATAGTTTTAAACGTTTTACACATTTAGTGTATTTGAATCAGTTTCGTAGTTTAATTGTTTTTGCTATATAATTTACAGTGTTTTTGATTCTATTATTTTTAATACTCTGAGCCACCTTGGATCCCTTTATCAGGAGAAAGGTGGCCAATAAATAAGACAAATAGATAAATTTGGGGCGGTACAAGTTTCCCATCTGCAGCCTAACCAAATAGCCACAAAAATTCTAGCTCTTCTAGAAGAATCTCTCTTATTAATTCCTGCGAGTGACTCATTTTTGTCTCTGGAGACTTCCCTCAGATTTGATGCAGGTGGCTATTGCTTTGTGTTGTATTGTGTTATCTACACCTTCTGGTGGTCTCTCCTGCTACATGAATGTTTGAGCCACACTGCCCACAGCTCTTACACATATTCAGGGGCACTTGCTGCTGTTGTGGGTGGGAACCAGCATTGCTTTGTGTGCTGCTGGGAAAATAACAGTCCAAGTAACAGGCTCTGAGTTCAAAGTAATGACCAAAGGAAAATGATAGGTCTCAGAATGTTCATTCCATCCAGCTGAGTGAAAGCAGACATCCTGAGAGCTGCATCACAAGTGTGGTTCTGTTCTGCACTCAAATGTAGACAGATGGGAAGGGTTAGGGTTACCCAGCACTGGCTTATATGATGCAACTTAGGTGTGACTCTCCCTGTCCACTGAGCCTTGATTGTGTGAATGGCTTTATTTGGTGGATCTCAAATTGCTGGATAAAATCAAACACCGAGCCCTCCTCCCATGCAGCTTTCTTTTTGTGTGTCCTCTGTGCACACTCCCTTGTGAGTCTCAGGTGCTCACTCCTCTGTTAGAAAACATATGGTAGCAACGTCCAGGGCTGGAACCACCACAGATTCTCAATGTATTCTCAAGGTCCTAATCTAGAAACCCTCCAAATGTTTTAGAACACATCATTAGGCCAAGATGGTCAGTTACAAAGGATTATAGAAGCTACAGTCCAAACATCAGGAGGACACCAATTTGGGGAAAGTTGATTGAGGCAAACTGCACAATTACACAAAGTACTTCACATGAACTTTCCATAAATTCCATTGCATGCCTACAAATAGTCCAGCACCACTATTTTCTAGTTGTAGCTGAAGCTGAGAGAGGTTTTAAAATGATTTTGACATATTCTGAGCCAAGCAAGACAATAATGTTTGTTTCTTTCTTTATTTATTCATTTTATTTTATTTATTTATATCCCGCCCATCTGTTTGGTTAAGACCACTCTAGGCGGCTAACAGCATAAAATGTTAAAGTGCCATCACTGTGGGGGGGATGCAGTGTGAGAGGAATTTTGATGCTTGCTTCATCATAGAATAAACTGTCTGTAATTATGCAGTGGGTAAAGTGGTTCAGTGAGGAACCTAAAGAGCAAATTGAGCTACAAGTCTTTCTTAGTAGAAGACCCCTTATTTGTTAGTTTATCTCAGCTGGCACTTACTGTGTCAGTACATTCACTCAGAGACTCTGGTAATGAGGAAGAATAAAATGTTTCCATTTACATACCGTTCTTATATGAAAACAGATATATTGTGTGGAAAAAGGTTAACCTGGTACATCTCCGAGCTTAGCTGTTTAATTAGCTTCATTACTGACAAACTGACTGGTTACATAGGTTGACAGAACATGTAACTCTGTCTTCTTTAGGCTCCATTTCCAACACTCTAACATTCTTACTGAACACTTACTAGAAGAAAGGCTGGAAAGAGAACCTGAGGTAGAGAGGGTACTATTGGCTGTTACTGAGTTGTCTGACATCCAGTCCAGTGCAAAAAAGTCTCTCACAGCTGAAAGAAAAAAAACTCCTTAAAAGGTATCATATGCAAAACACCCTTTCTCAACCTCATATGAAGCTGCCCTCCTCAAGACCCATCTTGTTACATAAGTCCATAAACTGGTCTCATAGAAGAGGCTTGGTCAAGGTGTCCACTGTCATCTCTTCTGTGGGGCAGGAGACTGTCTCATTGACACCTTTCTCAGCCATGTCATGCCCCAAGTGGTAACTAATGCTGATGTGTTTAGTGAGTGTGTTCACCCTCTTGCTCTAGGACAGCCTGGTGCAGCTCTCCTTGTCCTCCATCAGCTGGATTGGCATCTCTTGCTGGATCCTAGTCATTCAGTAGCTTCTCCAGCCATAGCAGCGCTCTGCATGCTTCAGCTGTAGCAGTGAACTCATGACTCTGTGGGAAACAAAGCTACAACATCTTGTTTACAACTAGCCTGTGAAATAGAGCTATCACCAAACATTAAAAGGAAACCATAGGTTGACTTATAACTGAGGCAAACTACACAGTTACACAAACTAGACAATAAATGTCAATGTGTCATTAAAAGCAGAGTTCCCTAAAAGGTAAAGGCTGCTTCTTGAGAGAGAGAGAATGTGATATTTAGGACAGTTGTGATGCTTCTCTATTCAACAGAGAATATGGAATTGTCAGATGTCATTGATTTGTTTCTGGTATTTACTAAGAACGGCCAATGGCAAAGAAAAGAAAATGTATTGTTGGTATCTTTAATGAGTATCTTTGTACCTTTAATTGTAAATAACAGCCAGGAATCCCTTGTAGCATCAAAGATTAAAATTTCCAGGTCATTTTATCTGACCTCTTTCAAGCATCACTGTGAGAAAGAGGAACCACCTAGAGCTCACCAGCAAGGTCAGAATTACTCACTGGCACACCTGGGCCATGACTCCTTTTTTCAAGCCAGCTAATTTTCATTACGAATGTGCAGAACTTTATTTCAGCAGTGTTTCCTGCCTTTCTGTTTTGTAGGATCAGATGTCCAGAGCAGAGTTTCTAAATAAGTTGTATGAATGCTTGAGTGCTTTCTTTGCATTTTTCAGCTGCCCACCCCCACCCCAGTCCTTGTTTTGCACATCAAGCTGCTGATTCTGGCAATTAGGATACTAACTGCATGTTATCTGCCTGGTTAGTTGCTGATACCTTTCTGCTCTTCTGTGGATTCCTCTGCCATCACAGGTTAGGTGGCTGGTGGGCCCCATTGGACCCCATTTCCAATCAGTTTGTGCCAGCCTGGCCAGTGGTGAAGAATATCTAGAGTAGTAGTTCAACAGCATCTGGAAGATCACAGATTTCTCCAGGCTTAACTGACCTCTGTATTCTGAAATTTTATAATGAATGTGTTTACTTTTGTGTATATTTTTGTGCAATGGCAAAGTATCTCGCTCCTGAGCCAGAGGTTGGGAAATTTATTCCCCACTGTGCTTCTTGGGAGAAGAACTAGCTTGTATAGCCATGGACATGCTGCACAGTCCCAGGGCACCCCCAGAGGAAGGGAGTGGTGAATGACTTCTGAGGACTCTCTACTTGGAAAACCCTGAAAAGGGTTGTCATAAATCAGAATTGAGTTGATAGAACATTATTATTATTATTATTAAACTACCCTGAAAGGAAATTAGTACAGCAATTGTATATGTATTTACAATAACATAAATGATAAAAGTCCCGAACATCCCAGACAACCCAGATAGTGTGGTTGCTGACCTTGACATCCTGGAGAGTGAAGTCAAGTGGGCCTTAGAAAGCCTGGCTAACAACAAGGCCAGTGGAGGTGATGGCATTCCAGTGGAACTATTTAAAATCTTAAAAAATGATGCTGTTAAGGTGCTACATTCAATATGCCAGCAACTTTGGAAAACTCCGCAGTGGCCAGAGGATTGGGAAAGATCGGTCTAAATCTCAATCCCAAAGAAGGGCAATGCCAATGAATGCTCCAACTACCGTTCAATTGCATTCATTTCACACACTAGCAAGGTTATGCTCAAAATCCTACAAGGTAGGCTTCAGCAGTATGTGGACCGAGAACTCCCAGAACTA